ACTGAAACCTCCTTTGACTCTGAGTGTTGCTTCTGCTCAGACTCACCTTCAGTGTCAGCAGCTGGAAGCAGCAGTGTTGTAGCTGAAGCTCGGTCTGATCGTCTGAGCGTCTCTTGACAGAATAATAATCACAAAGTGTTTCCTGGTTTGTGTGAGGTGAGCCAGGTGAGGGGTGGAGCTTCGTCATACCTCTCCTCCTGCCTCACCTATTTTTCAGCGTCTCTTTCATTCCACAACAATGATTAAATCCAGGACTTGTCAGCTGTAATGTGCAGCAGCGTGTTGCAACAGTCTGAATCCAGCTTCAGGTTGAACAGAATGAAATATGAAAAATTGTTTGCTGTCAGTCTGCTGGTTCTGGAGGCTCCTGTAACGAGTTCAGATGATGTTGTGTTGATCACAAACATATATTTTATTAAACACTGAGACAAGGAAATAGTTTTCTTTGTTCACTCACCTTTACGTCCTTCCAACCTGTTACGTGATCCAGTTGTTCCTCACGCTCACAAGGCCGGCCCCTCTACTTCCAGATATCTGGACTTGTCCAGATGTCGTCTTCTTCTGTCTTCTTCTCTCGTTTACCTGGTTTAGTAAACGTCGTCTTTTTCTGTTTTTGGTGGTGTGAGGATATTCTTCCTTTTGGTTGAGTGGACTTTACTCTGAGCAACTTCCTTGTTTTGGTTGAGATGTGGGATCATTGGGAAAATCCAGACGAGATGATTCTGAGTTGAACAATTGCAAAGAACTATTTCAGAAAACCCGAGCTAGACTTTTTCTGTTGTATTATGAACTGTGATTAAATCAACAGTCTGGAGTGATTTTTGAAAGGTTTTGTTCCTTGCTCTATTTGTTATAGCGTTGATAACTTTATGGTGTTTTGTGTTCCTTGATGGGTATTCTCTGACCTTTAACCTTTTTTCATTGCGTTAACACAGACAAGATTGGTGTAAAAACATTTGATCCTTGTGGGGTTTGACCTCTAACGTAGACATCATGGAAGTTAAACAAGTACAACGTTATGGACACGGAACGAATACGGAAAAACCTTTTATTAAATTTTATGTTTGAAATTAGTTTTTTTATGCATACTACCATTTGTAGTTTGATACGACAAACATGTTTGACTTATTTTAGCAGAAATAACAAGATGTTTACAAGCTACAATCCATATGAGGGTTGTTCCATCTCAGACCATCAGAGGCCTTCTTCTCAACCATCTCTGATCAGCTGTTTTACCACACACTATATACATTTGACATGGTTCCTGTAAAACTTTGCATTAGGTAAATATATATACATATAACTAAAATTACTTTCAGCAGCTGTTTTCTCACATTGAAGTTTGAGGATGTTTCAACAAAAAATCTCGAACGATTTATCACAAAAGCTGGAAATTTTCGGCTATTCATCCTCGTGGCACTGACTAAGGATCTGTGGGACTTGGACTACGCTATTCTTAGTATTCTATATGTTTAGTTTCGTATTATTGTGACATTCAGCTACATGTGATTCAGAAAATATCACAAGCTGACGTCTGCATTATCAATTGTTTTGTTAATAGGAGCTCAAACACAAAACTTTTCACGACAGCTGTTTTATTCCCTCACATTTCAACTCACTCATAATCAGAAAACATTTCATGTACTTGTCCAATATTACAGATTCTGAATCAATAACATAATGACACATAACAGTGACAATTTCAGGTTTTTATCTTTAATGCTTCTTGAGATACTGTAATCATACACAAAATATTTATTAACTGATAACAAATCAATAAGACAACAATGGCACAACAGTAAATGAATAACCGAACACAGGTTTGATGATGAAAGTGTGCAACATGTAAGTATGCAGTGAT